AGTGCCAGTTTCTTTTCAGCAGATCCTCTGAGAAAAGGCCAGGAGCTAAACAGTACGGCTGGTAGGAATCAATCTAACCATCATTTGGTTATTCATCATGGAATTCCCATTGGACTCCCACCCAGATGGAGGCCATTGGGTAAGAAAATTTACCAGCATTTTCAGCACAGTCTAGCCATTTCCCTTTAGTGGATGATTAGCCTTTCTGATTTCCTTATGTAGAAAAGTCTTTAGATGAAAATGATGCATAAGAATAGTGAGAGTATGTGGGGAGTGAATTTGGAAAAGATAATAAGCATTCATTTCCTCCCAGCTCCCTAGCATTTTTTTTAGAATACTTTCTCCACTAGTATGGTGAAGGGAGTGGGAGGGAGAAGGAAGGGCTCAACCATTGCTATTCATTACATGAAAAATTGGTCTTCCTTCAAGTGACAAGGGACATTGTCAAAGAAAAATCTTATTCAATCTTGTAAATATTTTCCCTGCCTTTCTTCAGTCCTTTTTTCCAGGAGATATACCATACTATGCATGTAAAAGACATTATGAGACTAAAGCCAGAGAGTACCCATCCTAACCAAATGGCCTGTGATGTCCCAGCACCTGTCTACCTCCATCTCTTGCTTTAGCAGACCAAGGGATCCCAGGGCCAGGATCATTATCCAAGGCATCTTCCCATGGAGGATGGCAGGGAGGCTGTAGGGGAACTGCAGAGACTCTCTGTACTGCAGGACATGTTTCTCCATCATATTGGAGCCAATTACCTTTATCTGTTGATGTACAACACAGCAAAGCATGAAGTGCCAGCCGTCACCAGCCATGGACACAGAACCTGCAGTAATTGAGGGAAATACTGACAGTCACTGCACATCAGACTCCAGGAGCCATTCTAACTTTAAAGTAAGGAAGGAAAAGTTAATTAGATTCAACCTTTAAAGATTTGATAAACCAAATTAAGCCACTCTATCCAATCACTAGAGCAGGACAGGGGCAAGGTGTGATTGCAGTCTAGACAGAAAACCAAAAACTTTCTACTGAACTTGTAAGCAGCCACTGCAGTCAGGCCCTTAATTTGAGGTGCTTACCCAAGTTCCTCAATTCGTTGTCACCCATCTGGGCTGCACTGACATTCAAAAGAGAGTGGAAGAGGAGAGTGTGAGAGAGAGGGAGAGGATGAGGGAGTCCCTCTGCAGGTGCTGCTGGACAACATGAACTTTCTACGTTGCTGCATTCTTAATGCCACAGAAGGAAAAGTTAATTAGATTCAACCTTTAAAGATATGATAAACCAAAATAAACTCTGTCCAAGCACTAGAGCAGGACAGGGGGAAGGTTTGATTGTAGCCTAGATTGACAACACAAACTTTCTACATGAACTCATAAGCAGCCACTGCACTCAGGCCCTTAATTTTAGGTGTCTACCCAAGTTCCTCAATTCATTGTCACCAACCTGGGCTGCACTGACATTTGACAGAGTGGGAGAGAGTGAGGGAGAGGGAGAGAGAGATGGAGCCCCTCTGTAGGTGCTGCTGGACTTTGGAGATGGAGAGAGCTCTGACTGACTACACACCAGAGACTCACACTGCTGATTTAGGTGCCTGAAATTAGGTGCAATGAATCTGGGCCTGAAAAGTCTTCATGAATATGTTTCTAGGTTTCTTAAGAAGTCCAAGAAAACCTTTTGGGCATTTACAATACTCAGATTTCGAACTCTCACATATTACTATATTTTTAGGAACCTAATATTGTTGCAGAGCCAGCCTAGCTCCTACCTCCTTTGTGCTTCACTGCTTTGTATATTCTTCTCTATCCTAATATCTTTGTAATGCATTAGTTATTTTAACTGTAAACTGTTGCATTCTGGTGCTGTATCTGACTATTTGCATGTGTAACACTTTGGAACTGTTATAGTACCAGAACAAATAAAAAGACTTTTAAATGGGAGAAGCAAGCAAGGTCTTTGCAATGAGAAGCTTGTTTAAAGGTAGAGCTGGAGTAGGCATGTGAACTGTTCTTTTCTCTGTGAGCTACTCTTGGCTTTATAAGAAGTTCAAAAAGCACTAATCTACTGATCTTTTTGGGCATGTGCAAAAATCTATAATGATTTAGAGTGCTCTTCAAATATTCAGCAACAGTACAACTAAGCATCTCTGAAGAAAGTTTTTCTGCAGGGGTTTCACATGTATTTTAAGAGGTGACAGGAGCAAAGTGTAGAGAACAATGAACACCTTAGAAGTTACAGCAATTAGAAAAGACATTGTTACACACATTCTGTAGCACTGAAGTACGAATAACTATTAGAGCAAATAAAAGCTTCCCCTTCCTGTCATAAAGCACTGCAGCTTCTAACCATAATAGTAAAACTGAACAGTTAGAAAGCAGAGAAGCAGATTATATTCTTGAAAGTCTTCCACAACAGTTCAGTAAAAGAGGCGTAAGAGCAAATTTAAAATGAAACATACCATTTTCTGTGTGCTTCTGTATCTGGCAGATTTTTTGTTTGAAGAGCCTGTAAGTCGGAGCAGAAGAAAACAGCATAAAAGTGGTCTCCACTGGTTCAGATGAGGTCCAGAGGAGAGTATAATATGGCATAACTTATTCAAGCAGTAATCACTACTCTGTTACTACTCTTCACCTCGACTTCAAATTGAGAAATAATTGAATGTGAAACAACTGCTGCAACGCACTTCCTCAAATATTTGTACTTAACAGTGCCTCATTTACTGCTCCACCCCCAAGAAATAATGGACTACTCTTATTTTCCCCTTTTTAAACAAATTTTCACATTACTCATACATCCACGTGCTTTTATTCTCACATGCTGCAATTTACTGTCTTCTTCTTTACTTTTGAACAGTTTTAATTTCAAACTGTGTTTTACCTTGCTACAGCGTCCCACCATAAAGAACTGTAATAAGACCTACTCCAAGAAGATAAAGATCCAAGCCACAGGGTACTCTAAAGAGGGACAATTGCGAAGTATTTGGCCACAAAGTTTAAGATCAATCAGCTGGGAGACAAATGCGCTACATAAGGGTAGTCAGTCACTTCAGACTACTAACATTTGCAGGAGATTAAGTTCCTCCTTTCGCCCATCCCCCTTTTTTAGTATAAATTGCATGGAGATACAGACAGTGTTAAGTGATGTTAACAATAGTTCAGATTTAGAACTTTAGTAATTTCTATAATTATTATTATTTTTAGGCATTCATTCCTGATGCAAATAGCTTCAAGAACTGGGATAGTTCTAAGCTGAAAACATTATGGAAGAAATGTCTATTAAGTGAATGGGACTTTGGGGAAGGGAACCAAAATAAAACATAATGAAAACTATAATGGTAAAGGCATAGGAAACAACATACAGAAAGGTGAAAAATTGCATGGGAGGGTGTAGAAGGGTGGTCAGAGTTAAAAATTACAAGGATAGTCTTATGCTGATGACAATCCAGCATTACACAAAGCATGGTGTCTGTCTGAGAGTTTCTTACTTAGAAGTCTCTGTGCTTAGCAGAACAGACTAGTTCAATGATTAGGATATTTATTAGTTGGAGTTTTCTTTCCCTACATTCTTTTCTTTACATTTTAAATAGCAATTCATAATTTCTCTGACCGTGATGGAGCTGAGAAACTCATTTCAGATGCCTGGAACCTGAAGAATGAACAGGAAAAGAATTTGCAGTCATATTTTCAAATTCTGTGTGTTTAGAGTCTGAGTCATATAGACATGAACAGAAAAACAAGAAAGCTATACAGCACCACTGCCATTTCAATCAGGGCCTAGGAAAGGGTTCATTAATTCTCAACTATATTAATTCAGAACTATATTTCTCACCTTTGTGGCTGAACATTAAAATACTGCAAAAAAGTATGATTCCTCTGCTCTTTATTGATAACTGGATTTTGCTTTTCACGCAAGATGCACTGAGGTTTTCACTGAGTGCTACTATAACTAATGCAGAAATCTCACTAAAATCCTGCTATGTGCTGCAGGGACATTCAACACATTTCTATTAGGATGAAAACCTGCACTACAAACACCATACACTAGTTATTACACTCTGGATTTTTCACATTGTATGTGACCACAAAGGAAAGTTACCTTCCACTTGTATATAATTATTCACCTTATAGCAAAGCTAATATGCTTCATTAATTATGAAAGAAGAGAATGAGTAGGCACAAGTTTGACTGTGTATGTTGGTTTCTTCAAGCACCCAGCCATTCCCTGGTACATGACACTGGAACATGAGATGCTTGATGTCCACTTGATTTGGTTGCAAGTAGGTTTTCTAAATCACAGTGTCCAGTCACTCAACCCTGTAATCTTTGACAGGTGCTCAGTGTCTTTCGAGATCTTCCTTGCAGCCTAAACCTACAAACAGTGGAAGTTTTAATAGCTGTACTGACACTTAGCATTTACTTTTGGAATAAGGCTGACTTTTTTTTATATTAGGAATTTGCTGTCACCCACCTAAGAGCTCGAGTTTCAATTCTGTTCAAAGTGAAACTGCAGCTTTAGCTGAACACTAATAGAAATGCAGAGCGATTTTTGCTGTCTTTTTTTCTTTTCCTTTTTTTTTACCTAAGAAATGTGGGTAGCAAAATACAACAATATTTTCCTTCAAAAGGTGGGAGTAAATGCACAGCAGCTTAGAAGTCCAGAATTTCTGAACTATAGTTTGTTTTTTAAAGATTTACTGATTTCAAAAGTTCAGTTTCCACCAGATGCTGCTCAAAACCTCTTTTGTCTCCTTTGCGAAAAACAAAGAAACTGAAAAGCAGTTACTGCATCACGCGTTAGGGGAAGATTCACTGATAACAGAAAATATATATTGCTGCCTCTGTGAAAGAAGAACATAATTTAAAATAAAGCAGGTTTCTTTAATTGCCTTAATCCTTCATGTATAGGTTAGGTTGACAGTTGGCTTGTAATTAGATCAGTAAACTTACAGTTCCTTTCTTTTTATTCCTAATGTCTTGCAGCAAAATCTTTTCTCTATAGTGTCATCCCTCATATCAAGAATACAGATACAATCCCACATATTCATGGTTAATACAACATTCAGTGTAAGATTGCATAATTTACCCAGGAAATTATTCAAGAAAACCAGTTAGGTTGGGCACTTTTGAAATAAATAAGCTGACTCCTCAAAGTGATGTAGACAGATGTTTGAAAAGAACCACAAAGAGAAATAGATAGTAAAATTGAGGAAATTAAAACAAAATCACTTGCAGACGCGTTAAAGCTTCTGTATGTATGATCTATGTATGTAATGCAGGATCCTCGCCGACAGCAGCTGCAGAAATGTGTTTGCAGACACTAAAAATAACCAAAACAATAAGCAGAAGACAGCAGTGGAGGAGATTGGCCAACTACAAGGGCAGAGGAGCACTCAGAGCTCTGGTGAGGGAGGAGACCCAAACCACCCAGGGTGCTGAGGTACAGCTGAGGGAGCCTCTAATACCACAGAAATGGACTTGGCCGCTTCTGAAAGCTGAGGCTGCCCCAGGCTACATCCGTGCCAAGACTGACTGACTAGAGTTTACAACAGGTTAAAATTGTGTGCTGGAAGCAAAGGTGCCTGCCACTCTTCTTACTGAAAGTGAGTGACCTTCAAGGGAGGCAGAAGACATCCAGAAATACCTGAAATAAGATTGAGCTATTTTCCAAGCTCTCCAGGGTCAGCAATGCAGCTACACCTCTCCTGTTTATTCTTTCCTAAGGGGGTAGCCAAAGAGGGCATCCCTGCTTTTCTCTGGGGGATGATGATGAGGTGGAGGAGTGCCAAGGCAGTAACACTGGAAACAGTGGTGAACGCTAATGCAGGAACTGCTGGCAAATAACAAAACTGGCAGGTTTAGTGGAATTTTGGCACTTGTGACAGAGATATCCTCAACTCCTATTTCTTAGTGATGACATTACTAGCCTTTTTTAATGTTTCATATAGGCAATCTTGCCATGGTTTATGAAGTCATTCTCAGGCAAAAGCACTGAGAGAGTACTGAAACAACCTCTGCAGAACAACATGAAACTCAGACACTGCTGGACCCAAACAAATTACTTATCAGGAAACAGCATCAAAGGAAATAAAGGCTTAAGATTATGGCAAGCAAGTGTAATGAGGCTTATAGTAAACATATGTGTTGATAAATATTCTGATTTATTATAGTATTTGATATTGCTTTTTCAAAAATTATGCATGACATTTTTATGGCCGAGGGCTACCACTTAACAGGTTATTTGAATAAGAATGACATGGAGCTGATGGACCAAGTCCAGAGGAGGGCCACAAATTTGTTAAGGGGACTAGAGCACCTCCCCTACAAAGACAGGCTGATAAAATTGGGACTGTTCAGCTCAAAGACCTCACAGCAGCCTTCCAGTATCTACAAGGAAACTAGAGAGGGACTCTTCATCAGGAACTGTACTGATAGGACAAGGAATAATGGACTGAAATTGAATGGGGTCAAATTGAAATAGGGGAAAGAAGATATTATTTACTGTAAGTGTGGTGAGGCACTCAGGTTACCCAAAGCAGCTCTTGGGTGGAGATATAGCTGGGTTAATAAATTAAGAAATAAAAAAGGTAAAAGATGCAAAAATGATTACTCATCATCTCCTGACAGCAGATCAGTGCCCAGCTGGCCTCAGTGATAGCTGGTTTCGCCAAATCCTCATCCCCCCACCCTCCACCCAAATTTTATTGCTGGGCAAGGGACCATAACGGCTTGGGTTTTCCCTCTGGTCAGCTGGGTTCTGCAAAATTCGCTGTGTCCCCTGCCAGACTCTTGCCCACCCACAGCCTGCTCACCAGTGCAACAAGGCCTTGAGGTTCTGAATCCGCCCTCCCTATTCTGTCCCAAA